TATTTTTTTCAAAAGTTAAAAAATTCTTGTTGATTGCATTTTTACAGCTTGTCAAGCACAAAACTGGTGGCTGTGTCCCTTATTTTGTGTATGTGGGGGTCTATACGAATGCGCTTGCTCCAGCTGGTGGTACAATATTCGGAGGCGGTATCGCCTCTCTGATCCTCTAGTTATACATAGTAAATAGGCTAAATCTTTCATGAGTAATAATTGAAGTTAATTATTGATATACTTCTAAGATGGTTGAGGATCTTGATTTCAAAATTTTTTCAGAGAAAGAAAACGTTCTACATCCCCTGGTTTGTGGCTACTGGCTTGCAGTGTTTCTTAATGTTGTTCCAATGTTTTTACATGACTGTAGTTTTGAGTAAGTTCCAAGGGAAGTTTTTTTTTTACATTTGTGTGAAAAAATTGAAATATTATTATAAACCTGAATTATTGTTGTAATAGTATCAAGGAGATTTCTCTGGCACATAATCTTAAATTTTAAAGGAATATCAATTTATATCATACTTAAGTAAACTAGTCTAGTTAAATTTAAGAGATTGGATATGTTGATACATAATGTTACATAATTATGTCAGCTATGTTTTTATAAAGCACTACACTGATGGTTTAATAATTGAAGAGTTCATGAGTTTTCATGAATGTGTGTGTGTGTGTGTGTGTGTGTGATAAGGTTTATTTGGGTGCAAAGCTGAGGGACTGTGGAAGTATTCTATTCACACATACTTGAATGAAGTCAAAAGTAAAAGATGTGCTGGCATGCATTAGGTGTGTGTGTGAAAGTTATCTTCCATAGTTTCTCAATGCAAAGTAAAAGAGATAAACGTGACAAAATGTTATTTCGGCTAGTAATCTGTAATAAATATCTGATTCAAATTGAATAAAGCAACCTTTCTGATTTTGGAACCGAGACAGCAGTTCTGTTGTTTCTGACTCACCGGCGTCGCCTGCTGATATGTGTGTGTGTGTGTGTGAGAGAGAGAGAAGAGAGAAGTTTTTATACCCATTCCCTACCTGTGCCCCCCCTTCTGTTGCCCCTTTACCCCCTTATTATGCCCCAAAACTCCCTTCATTTTCCTGTCTCTGCTCCTTAACTCCTTTAATGTGCCTTATGTATGCCCCTTTCTATGCTCTGAACCCCTTTTCTGTGACCCTGTACTTGAAGACTTGTCCCCCCCCCCCCCCCTCAGGTCCTTGATGGAATATTTGAATATCTGTGTGTAATATGATGTTGTCAATATGAATGTTTATTTCAGCCTCGGCAGGCATAGCATGGACAGTTGCTGTAATTGCAGTACAATTACTCGTGCTGGGCATTTGTGTAAGTATTTATAAGACTAGTGTGCTTTAGACCCTTTTCTTCTGGCTCGGTACCTTTTCCTGTCTCGCACCATTTTGAGAAAGTGACAGATTAATAGTCTGGCTGTTACGTTGGAGAATCACCTAAATGGAGGATCCACGTTCAACACGACCAGTTAACAGGATTGATTTTGATTGGTGTCATGGGTCTTGTGAGAAAAGTTAAAAAACATTTGTTAAATAATAGGACCAGTCAAAGGGAAAACTGCATGTACTGCTCGATGTGAAAGTGGCCTCAATTTGGAGATGGTCGCTTTGTTTGTTACGTAGAGATTGAGGGATCTCAGAGGGACCCCCCTTAAGAACATTCATCTTGCATAGTCATTTTAAACCTTGTGTTCATTATAACAGGCAAGATAAAATGTTCTCCTAGACTCCCCTGTGTTTAACTGTACATTATACATGAATTTTTACCTTTTTTTTTTTTTTTGAAACCTTTGAAACATTTCACCAAATCTATTTTTTCCTCAAGAAAAAGCCATTTTCTCCCACTTACAAATCATTGTACATTTTGATATAAATACTGACATCAGGTACTAGTACTTTTACTGAAAAAAGTTCTTAAAACTATCTTAAAACTCTGAATTGGAAAAGTTACACTAAGCTTTCAGAATATTCAGGCGTAAGAAATATGACTTCAGACATTTTAAAACCTGTATAGTACAGGTTTAATTGTTATTAGACTACGTTGTAATTTTAGATCTATGCCATGGTTTGTGTTGGTATGGACTTAAAATGCATGAACAGAGAACAAAGGGTAAGTGATGATCAACTTCAGTCATTGCTTAAAAAATTTCCAAATTGAACAGGTGATAGAAACATTGACTGCTTTCTGTGGCATGAGCTTTGATATGGTGAATTTTTTTCTAGTTTACATCTTTGGAGATATATTCATCTATTTATCACCAGCAACACAGCTGGGTTTGTAAAAAAAAAAAGAATAATTTCTGATGGTTAGTAGTTGCACTTAGAGACGCACTACTGTTACAGAAGTGAACCAACTTCGACTTTCTTTAAAGAACTGTACACTAGAGAACCCGCATCCACTTCTATTACATGTTGTGATTATGCTATGCTATATTTCAGGCTGGTCAACATGCATTTGTTCCCATGGCACCTGTTGGGGTTGGAGCCAGTGCCCCAGGGGCCTACCCCCAGGGTTACCAGGTGCCCCAGGGGCAGTATCCAGTGGCTTACTATGCAGTCTGCCCCCCAGGGGTGACCACAGGGCCAGCTCCTGCTCCCCCAGCGTACCAGGAGAAGCCCCACCCAGATAATTACCATTAATTCAATCAACTTGGATTTCTTTGTCTTTGCTGCTGTCACAGGAGAAATCTGTGATTCAGCAAAAATTTTGGTTATAATGCACACAATCTACATTGGACCGTTATCAAAAAAATGACTTTTTTTTTTTTTTTTTTTTGTAAAATGTCAACCGCTGTCACTACTTCAAGGTATATCCAAAACTAGAGAAAATTATTATCCACAGGGTCATTTTTGAATTTATTTAAAAATACAATGGAGATTTTGATCTTAAAATTCAAAATTTGATCTTTTGCACAGAGGAAGTTTTAACTGAATTTCCAAACACAAAGGACTGTGTATTGAACCAGATAATGTCATTGTCATCTGGAATAAGATTATTGTCATCCACTCGAAACCCCAAATGAATGGGAGCCTACTGTCTGAAAATGTGTGCACATTTGGTGGTTTTTTGTTTGTTGTAACTCCAACAGGCACACATGTTCAAAGTCAGCCATGAAAGCATATTATTTGGTGTAGCCAAAAGTATTATGTATATGAAAAGGCTATATGCTATTTTTTCATAGGCCGATATTATTCTTTTTCACATGGCATTGTGAGGTATTTCAAATGGTGCATGCAATTTTCATTAAATCTCAGCAGTTAACTGAGCAGACATTATACTTATTATTATACATTTGTAGTCAGTGTGATATATTTTTAAGCTGCATATACTGTTTTTGCTTGTCAGAACTGCATTTAAGAGGCATTTGTTTTTGTTTTGCATGTTAAATGATCTTTTTGACAACTGATTTGTCTGTGTTTTTTATAAATTGGAACTTAAATTAAAATGTTTTCCAGTAGCTTTTTGTCCAATTTATCATATGATAACAGTACAGTGGATTTGGAAAACATTAAAAATATAATTATATATCTATATATATGACAATCAAGTTTTGCATATAAGAAAATATTCTTATGCAATTTAGAAAATTTAATCAGTCATAAAATGATTTTATATTATTAAGAAAAAAATTAGCAACATCATTATCCAGTGAACATTATATTCAAATGTATAGTAAACTTTTTTCACATCTTGGGGTTCTGATTTGCGATGTGCTGCCTTGTGATCAGGCAAGAGGCCACCTCACTCGTTATCTTTCGTTTGTTTCCTTCCTTTTGGGCACATGTTCTTCCCAAAGCATGTGCTCTTTAACACAATAGAAATATGGTGTTTGTTCGGACCTCCTGGCTTCCCAGCTGCTTTAAAAATAAAGAGCATTTGATGTTGAAGGAAGCATTCAGCAGGGTCATTCACATTTCATCCATGTTACATGTGCATGAGTGTTTTATATCATTTTTTTTTTTTTTTTTTTTTTTTTTTTTTTTTTTTTTTTTTTTTTTTTTTAGAAATTAATAGAGATGTGACTTATTTTAGTGAATAAGTCTTAAAGTATGACGTGGGGTCCAGGAAGCCCTCTAGCTGCATCTATCTCAAAAAATTATATTATTTTTGGCTTCAAAAAATTCTGAAATCTGCTGATACTGAGTTTTTCCATGATAGCAGAGAGACCTATAGCATAAAACTGAAAATTATTGGGCAAGCCAGAGTGATGTCAAGGTCAATACTTGAGAGTAAATCCTGTTGTTAAATATATTTTTATTGTGACATTACAGGTTATTTACAAAATTTTAATCTTTTTACTGGAGGTGCTTTCTTCCAAGCATCAAAGCTAAGTTTTTTGTACAACAAATGAACATGGACTTGTTGAACTCACTGTTACAGTATTTAAAAATCTGACATGATAACTTCCTGATAATTGTCAGACTGAACTACTATACATAGTTTCAACAAACTAGACGTATCTTTTACGTTGTTCAGCACATAATTGCATTATTCCCTAATTTTTTTTATTTTAAATATCTTTCCATTTATTGAGCTACATGCACAACTTTACCCACTGCCATGATTATATATTATGTGTTAATAATATGATCCAACATAAGAACTTATCATATCATTTTGATGATATATTAAAATAAATAAATGCTTTTCATTAATACTTTTTGATTTCTTTTGTACCACTTTACTCTCATATCAAGCTAAGATAATTATAACCATGATACTATAATATTATAAATTACTAGTTGTACAATTTCATAATGATGCTTTGATAAAAAAAACTACCAAAATTCCATGCTACAGCTAACGTGTCATTTCAGCATTTATTATAACTGCGAGATTCATGTGAGAACTTTTCAAGCATCTCCAGAGTATAACTATATATTAATTTCATAATGTTAAAACAAAGCAAAACTTTATATGTTACCCAGGACGGAAAGAAATAAGACCATAACATATTGGCATTAAATATCTTTAAGAAAAATATACCAAAATGTTCAAAAAATTAAATTAAGGAAAGATTTCAACAAAAATATTTTATTTGAAAAATAATTACATCACTATTATGTAAGTATTTCAACTAACTTCATATGATATTGAAAACTTGTCAAAATGGACAAAAATTAAACATGAGATGCCCCTTTTCAGCTAAGATATTCAATAATACTTCAGTGAACAGGTGGTGCCCTCTTTTAAACAAAATATCTACTAACACCTAACTGGTTATATGTATATATTAACCGAAGAAGCCAAAACCTGCTTTGACCACTGGTGCCCTCTTTTGGACAAAATACTGACAGTCATCATCTGTAATTACGGACTTCATTGATTTCACTTTTTACACCCATGGGTTTGTCTTTTGGAAACTGTTATATATTCAACAAGTTAATTATACATCCTATATTATATAAGAAACTGATTCCAGCCACCTATGAAACTGATCTTTTTCTGCTGCCATTGCTATTAACATCTTCCATTTTATCACATTTTCACTATTATTCAGTATATATACATAAAAAGCAACATAACCCTTGTGTACAGTTGAAAAATTCAAGTTATTCTGTCATAAAAAATTAATTTTGTTTAAGTATCAGAAAAAGCAACAGACAGCTTGAAAAAAGAGGAAAAAATATCACCAAGTAATATGTAAGTTTTCTAGAAAAAAATGTCAGGTTGTATAACTGTGATATTGTTCTCATATAATTAAATAATATTTTGTATAACTGCAATTTATAGACTTCTTCCATACTAATACATACTGGCTTAAGTCCAGTTTACATAATTAAACAGTGACCTGTGTAATTTAAATCAAGTAAATCTATACAGTCACATAAAACCCCTTTCCATTTAAGCACTAAAAATAATAATAAAAAAAAAATCAACAAAAGTTTATAAAATATCTATCCAGTACAGTACATCAAAAGCAAATCAATAATTTAACAAGTATCGAGAGAAAGAAGGAGAGGGGACAGCAAAAATATATTCCACAACAATAAGTTCCATGTAGTTCTGTAGCATTATAAATGGCATTTTCAGGGAAGAATAAAGAGGGGATGAAGAGGGGCAAAAGCCACCTGTGCGCCACATCTCTGAATTTACTGAATATCTTCATCTAAACTCTCTTTGGTTTGAGAGAGTTGGCAATCGGTGAATTTAGCGTACTATCCGAGTAGTCCAATGCGTTGGCTTCATAAATAGCATCATGGGAAGGTCCAGGGGCGAGAATACTGCTGAGATCTTGACTGGTCTTGTCTCCAACACTGAAGTTACACAAATCAATGAAGAATCCTTATAAAAGTCATATTCTTGTACTCGTAAGTAAGTAATTTCCTCTAAAACATAAGAAATGCCATTCCTGTTTTTAAACAGGTACAAAACTTCATTTAACTGGACTAAAGCATTCTCAATCAAAGCTGATCTGCAGACTAACAGATCTGCTGCGGTCTGAGTTTAAAGCAATCTTTGGCTAATTTTTTCTTTAAAAATAAAAAAAAAAGATTTTTCTTTTTTGGAATAATTACTAAGCCATACCTTTGATATTCACTGTATTTTCTGGGCCAGAAGTTCCTCTCAGGCCAGTGTGTGTGGCAGTAGCACCCTGCCAGGACCAGGAGCACCATCAGCATGGTACCGCTGGAGGTTCCCACTATAATGTACAGGTTGGTGGAGTGCACATGCTCCACACTGCGGGAGGAATGACTTGAGCGAGTGACATCAGACAGCGGTTTGTCTTGTGAATTTTCTGTAAAATTGTAGGATACTAGATTAGGAATTAAACAAATCTTCATCAGTAATTTGTATAAAAAACATGGGTTCATTACAAGATATAATGATCATAATAATAATAATAAAGAAAAGATGTTAATTGTTACCTTTGGTTTGGCACCGTGTACCAACATAGCCTGGAGGGCAGTCACAGAAGAAGCCATTCACTTTATCGTGACATTTGCCGCCATTTTTACAGGGTGACGAGTCACATTCATTGATGTCAATCTCACACTGGTGGCCTGAAATCATAAAATGTTGAACATGGTTGAGTATCATTGTGCATTTTTTAAAATCTTCAATCGCAATGAATGTTGAAATATTTAAGGCTATGTTATGTATTTCAACCCTTCGAGACCCTCCATCTTACAGGTCATGTCTCTTAATCTTTAACTGTCTGAACATTTTAGTTTACGAATTGCATCAAGTTTCCAATACTCACAGCCATCTATAGCATACATTAATGACATGAAATCACGAATGTTTTGATTCAAATACAATTCAAGGTTAATGGGTTAGGAGGAGGGGGGAGGAAGATGCACTCTTTTTAATTTTCCAGGGGCTTTTTTATTTAAAAAGAAAAAAAATCATGCATGAGACAGGGTAAATGCTTCCATCTCTGAAAAAGTTTTAAATGGCCCTTTATTAATATCTTGGTGACAGTTCACTTATTTTCAATTATTATATGAGAACAGCCCCATATCTTTTCGCTGTCATTTTCTAAAAATATCACTGAATGAAAATAAGTTTGGCATTTTCTGCGCTGAGAAAACAACTGGCTAGAATGATGTCATTGTTCTCATCAATAATACATATTAAGAAATCTCAACTTTCTGCAAGAGTGGATAATTGAAAGATTTTCTGTCACTTCTTTTCTGCATTTTTACAACTCATTTCTTCACTCTGCTCTTACAGGAATGCGTGGGCAAAAATTGATGAAAACCGTCAAGTACATAATAGTTCATGAAACCTGACAAGCAGACGATCAAAAGATTTTGGATATGCTGTAGGCAGACAAGTTAACAGGGGCAGCGGCAATTATACCAAATCCACCTATCTTCTGCCCATATCTGGTGGCATGATATGCACACTTTCATCCAAATCCTGAATACAAACCTTGTGCTAAAAGTACTGCCATCTCATTTCAATGTAATTTTTCTTGTATCTGAACAGTATGACTTAACTTGCACCAAAAAATAAAATGCACTCTAGCTGAGCCCCAGAAAAATATGCCAAAGCCTTCATGCTTTACTCAATCACAAATTCATATGGGATATAATCGCAATAGCTGAAATGACATTTTTTTTCAGATTGATTAAAAACATGTCCCTATTGATTGTCCCCTGTAAACTGGTGCTATTATTATCACCATATATCTTCAATGTTGAGACGCCAATATTGGATTAAAATTGATTAGTATTCAACTGGATTGACAGATTCATTACAGGTTAGATGACTACATCTTAGCTGAGTCTCATATTTTTTACCACTGATAACAATCTTAAATACCAATCTTCATAGAACTGAATGCAGGGAAAAAGGCATATCAGTCTATATTACATGTAAACTACGTAATGAATGTAATACATAGTAGATTTATACTCAACTTATTCTTAATATCTGCATATGATTTTTTATAAAATAAAAATAAGATATCATGTGAACACATCTGGGAACTTATGCACAAACTCAGTTACATCCTATTACAGATTATAAAAATTTTGGTATGAAAAATAACAAGTAAAATTAACCAAAACAAACAAAAAAATAAGTATATTAAGTACCTGCAAATCCCGCATGACATTTACAGCTGAAATAATTTCCATGATCAAAACACATGGATCCCTTTTGGCACGGGTTGGGGAAACACAGGTCCACCTGTACAGAAAAGAAAATCAGCATTTTACTGATTTTGACCATCATGTATTGCGTGACCTAAAATGTCTAAGCAATACATCGTACCCTGATCTAGAAACGTATGGCATGGGGCCAATTTTAACATCACAAACTGTAACACCGTAATGTGACAGGCTTTTGCTGTTTATCAGGAGAAATGGTACAAATGTCACAAGGCTTTAACTTGTTGGTGTCAAATTAAAATTGTAGTGTACGCGCACACCCTGTTGATGGTAATACAATTAAATAAGATGCTGAGGTTATAGTGGAATTTTACTCACTTCATATGAGGTATGGTATGAGGCCATGAGAGAGAGAGAGAGTGAGAGAGAGTGAGTTCAGAGAAAGGATAATTTTTGAAAACTCAGCTCAATTTCCCTTGGCTATATTTTCTTTTACATCATTATCAACTGGCCATGGAGAGAGAGAGAGAGAGAGAGAGAGAGATCAGACTATCACCTTCTCAGAACAATCCTTGCCCCTGTATCCTGGCCCACACTCACACTCAAAGTCATTGACTTTGTCTACACAAAACCCAGAGTTCTTACATGGGTTGGACTGGCACTCATTGTACTCGATGTCACAGTGTTTTCCGCCATGACCTGAAATATTGAATACAAATATGATATAGCAGCAATTAATTTATAATCTTCTAACCATTTTATAGAATGTATCTTTTTTAGTAACTCTATGAGCTCAAAGTGTTGCCAAATACTAAGATAATTTTCTTAAGCTAAAAATAAAATTATTAATTAATTTTCTATACAATTTCCTTTACAATTTGTTGAAATATTTGTATTTTGCTTCAATACAAAAGGTACCTGGAATACAAAAGCACTGGTATCCTCCAATTTCGTTCACACATATTCCGTGCTTGCAAGGACTGCTGTCGCATTCATTAATTTCCACCTCGCAATGGTCCCCGCTGTATCCTGGCATGCATGCACATGCATAATTAAGCTCGTTTGGAGTGCATGAGCCATTGTTAGCACATGGTGAACTGTCGCAAGGATTTTCTAACTTATGTTCACATAAATCTCCAATATACCCTAGAAAAAATATGAAACATGATAATGTTCTAACCAGTTTGAAACATAAGTTTTACACTAAGTAACAAAATATATTTTTTAATTGGGCAATAGATCAGACCTTGCTTCAATCTCATAGGATTTTATCCTCTTATGAAAACTAATTCTAATCTTATCCCAGATCAAAAAATGTTTAAAGAACTAGCCTAACCATGTCCTGGCTAAAAGAGAAGGTGAAACAACCAAAGCAGGTGGAGTCGAAACACTTTCATTAACTGTTTGGCAAGAGCTTGCTAGATATATTATTAATGAGGATGCTTATTTCTAAGGGGAAAACTAAGAATTTCTTTACAGGATACCTTTAGGGCAACTGCACCGAAAATGAGTCCCTGTTGGATCATTATGAAGATCTTCGCAGGTGGCATTGTTTTGGCACAGGTTACTGACACATGCGTCTAGATCATCACAGAAATCCCCCGAGAAACCGTGGCAACACCTACATTGATACAGCGCCTGAGGACAAAAGAAAGAGGGTAATTGCTATCACTGTCGCAGTCACAGATAAGAAGTAGCAAATGTGGTCACCCTGGGAATAAAATAAGAAATTAGGATTATGAAATATTTATAGTGATGGATGCAGTTACATCTTGTAATACCTGGGGGATCATCTCACAGACTTTATTTCATCATCATTATTCACACTGCTTTCTCTAGAGGGTTCGACAGTTAATGATTTAATGAGTGCCTCGCCCTTCCCACTACCTCCCCTCCCCTACCCCCCCACACCCCAACACACACACACACACACACACACACACACACACACAGAAAAAAAAAACTCGAGAAGGAGGGTGAAAGATTGGATTTGATTACACCTGCAGGAAAATATAATTTTCCATGACATGTACAGCCACATGAAGCTTCTGTTCCAAAAAGTATGTAACCAAATTTCATTTTATGGAAAAATTAAATGGAACACATACAAAAATACTGATTATCTCAAGTTGCAAACCATTTATCTGCATTTCCTTTCCAACCTGTCCCTCAAAATAAATTATATATATATATATATATATATATATATATATATATATATATATATATATATATATATATATATATATATATCCTTTAATTGTGTTTCATTTGTATCCTCTCTGCCCACCATTCCCTGAAAAAAAATTCAAAAAAGGAAAGAAAACACATCTATCCCTAGATCTCTCTCTGCATGGCTGGTCACACACATCCTATAATTCTCTTGTGTAATTCCCTGCAAATGTTCCTAGAAAATACAGTAATGTAAAGTTAATAGCAAAGAAATCCTTAGAGGCTACACTTGAGGATGAAAGATAGCTACATGAATTGCTTCTGGTATACTCTTGAAAAGATCAAAGAAGATTAAATTGTACCTAATTCATATTACACCAAAAGCTGTAAGCTTTTTTGCAAATTGAACGTGCAACAGTTTTCCGCCAATGATCAAACCATGATATTTAATTTGTTCTTATCTTTCAAACGTGAGTGCTTGTGTGATGCATACACCTCTATTTGACATCAATGTTATACATGCACAACATATTTTGCATGATTTTTCATACTCAGAGTCAACCATCTGTTACTGTACTAGTACCTACTAGACAAAAGCATGGATCATGTGCATGTGTACAGTTGTACATGTATCTCACATGCATACACTCATAAATACATGCACACAAACACATATATAACACACGTTTACACGCAACCATTTTATACATACGCACATGTACACACAACCATTTTATATATACACACGTACACATACGTACACATGTACACATACATGCACACACACGTACACACAGACACACATACCTAGCAGTATAAAGCTCTAACGTTAAGCAACGTGCAACAACAATCTTTGTCCAAAAATATGAGTCAGCACAAGCAAATCAGCCAAATCAACAAATAACATAGCAAAATGACATTTAATACAATGGCTCTATAATCAGAATTAGGAATACAAAAATGGAGATGTATAACTGTGATGATATAAAGCAATGGTTTACCACTTGTGTGATACACTCTCAGTTTTTAATCCACAAGGGAATCATACGACCATTTTCTCAACTTAATGGAGCACAGAAATAATTTTCAAAAACAACACGTCTTTTTCATTTCCAGAAGCACTATGAATAATGTAATACAGATTGAAAAAAAAACAGTATAGTACAAAGTGCATGACTGTTCAAAGTCTGCCAACAAAATTAAGAACCCTCGCTTGCATTTATTTGTCACCGATCTCAGTTTTGCCCTCTGGTATAAAGCCAACTCGTGAACCAGAGGACCCCAGAGATAGCCACACCATCCTGATCATGCAACATTACTCAGTTCCAGTATGACATTTAATCAGTCAGAACTTTATTGTAGAGATCTGGAAGTACGGTAATTACTGGATCTTTTCAGTGGAGTGAAAATTGTGAACTTTACAGATACTGTATTTTAAGTCATTATTTAATCTTAAAATTAGATCATTCTTATAATCCATACTGTCTTGAGTGGTTGCAACAAAATTACAAAACAGGCAATGTGGTCTACTTCTCATTTTTTTGCAAGACTGTTAGCCATTTTAGACTCACAAACTGAAGGCCAAAAGGTTATGTACTAGTAGGTAAACAAGATCATTCTTAGCTGGCAGTGGAACCAAACTCATGGTAAGGGCAGATCAGCCCTGATTGAATGTATTTATTGATGTAGCAGGGCTCGACATAAGCGCCTGTCCGCCTGTCCGGGACAGGTAAAAATTCAGTTCGGACAGGTGAAGTTGCAGGGTTGGCTGTCCGACGGACAGGTCATGTTTTGTGAGAAATTTGGAGCAAAAGTCTTTAAAAAATCATTTTTTGTTGCATACTAACGTCTTTTATTCTCTTCCTAGACGGCATTGAAAAGAGTGACCTACTTTTGGCACAAAACACATGCAGTCGCAAAACGAAGTCTGAGTAAACTTACCGCCAAGTTATGAAAGTGAACACCCTCCAGAACTTCATCAGACAAAATCTATTCACATATCACATACTGAATATTTATTTAGTTCAAAATCTACATGCACTAGTAATAAAGACCGTTCCAAAGACAGAAACTACACAAGTACTGTACTGGGTATAAAGCCAGATTGAACTGGATGAACTGGCTATATCTAGTTTGTTGTCAAGGCAACATACTGCCTGTCAATCAAATACGTTGTATGCTATCTACTCACTATAGAAAGTGAAATCTTTTGGACTGAAGATCTTGTTGAAATGTAGTTTATTTGCCAAAATATAACCTGAAATTATGTATGATGTTTTCTTAAATGACTCTAGCATCACTTATGTTATTTACAGTTAAAAATTAGTGCTGGAATATGATAAATTAACATTGCTGTCATATACCAAAATGATATTGATGTAAGGAAGAAATTGGTAATAACAAATATGAGAATTTAAATAAAAAGAAGGGGAAATTTTTATACTGATTTTATTTAATTCATATATTAAAGAAAAATCAAACACATGATAACCCCTAAAGAAGTTAAATTGTTAACATAAATATAAGTAAAGTATTATAAAATGAATATTATTTAACTTTTCATTGAACTATATTAAAATATTATTAATTTTGAATATTTTAATAAAATTAATTTAACAGTACCCCCTCCCCACTTCCCACTCAGGGTATTTTTTTCCTTAGCTGTTGTTAAACTTCATGTGAATCTGTTATCAAATTGCAGATTTACAATTCGTAGACCCTGTACCCCAAATCCTAGGAGAAGCCCTGATTGGAACTATGTTAAATCAGACTTATATGCAAGATTTAATCTTCACGAGTTCACAAGTATGAAAAAACAATTTTTTATCTGAAAATAAATTCACTTTAAGGTGCATTTTTCCAGCTCATTTGATTGAGTATTTTGGTAATAAATACATTAAATGTATGACTATACATATTAATTTACAAAGTTCTAGGTATGAATAGAAAAAAAAAATATTGGTTTTGTTGGACAGGTTGGTTTGAAAATCGGACAGGTCAAATTTATGACCACCTGTCCGAAGGACAGGTGCTCAAAAAAGTTAGTGTCTAGCCCTGTGTAGTAATCAAGAATTGAATTAAAGGTTTCTATATTGAATATATACAAATACTAAATTGACAATTACAGGCAGTAATAAAATCAATTTGAATCTATAGTCTACCAGTGCTTCTCATACTTCTAAGTAAAAAGACATTAACCTTTTCACAAGACCAATTTTCCCCAAATAGTAAAAGGTGACTAAAATGCACTGTTTGTATTTTCAGTAGAGTGTTTTCATCAGCGCTTTTTTTATCACCACCTTGGAATACTGCCACCAACTAAAACATATTTCATTTGAAAAAGTCCATGAACTCTCAAAAGGATCAGGCAGGGGAGTCTGGTGACTTTCGGGTAATATTATTAATCTTTGTTCACATCTGCATTGTAGTAACCACATTGGATGTGAACTAAATTAAATGCAGTGAAAAAGTGTCGAACAAACAGGGAATTTGGAGCGATGCCTTCATATAATGAACACGTGGAAACCTCTTGCCAAAATAACACAATAATGGTGCTGGGATAAAGTGCCAAACAATAATGGACCCCAATAACCCAATTTTGAAACAAACAACGTAAAGGCAGTGAATTTAATGGCAACCACAACTTGCTAATTAGAACTCTATTTCTGGGGTTACTTTTTTTAAAATCTCTACTGGAAACCCTGCATTGGTTTTGCAAATCTGTTTTGGCTTTGTGACTTAGCTTTGCAATCTACATGTAGCTACTGGCAAATCCAGACTGCCAAAGAAGGAGAAAAGATGACTATAAGTAAGAGTCAAATCAATATCCTATCCCTGCTGCAATTTACATTTTTAAACAATGGTGCAATGTTTATGTGGCAGTCATGATGACAATCCTTTTGACTCCATGATTTTTTTCTTCCCTTCAGTAGCATGGGGTGGACCTACAATTTCGCTTGGAAAAATGTGTGTGCATCAGAGAGATATAGACAGACAGAGAAAGAAAACCCAAGTCCCAAAATAATTTAATCATGAAATTCTAAAAATTTGAAAAATAAGGGACACTGTATGTTTGGAAGGGGGGGGGGGGAGAATGGCCTTTACTACCTCGGAATAAAATCTTATCTAAGAATTTAGGTGTGATTTCTCACAGATTGTTTTTCTATACTGTATACAGGGTCCCAATCCCAAAATTATTCTTCATGCCTCCTATTGCTAGACTTTCAAAGCCAGAAACACATTACCATGATGAAGCAATTAATTTATAGTAACTACATCCCTAACAATATGATCCCAATAGGCTTTAGTATTCACCAATGCAATTATTATTATACCCATGAGCACTGCAGCTTTTACAAGCACTTCAAATACACGAACAAATGGTAATATCCCTATAATATAGGCAGATGGAGTCAGACTCTATTCTAGGGAAAAGCATGTGCTTGCTGTCAATATGTCATTTTATAAACAGTTTGAAGAGAGATGTTTCATATGAAGCACGTATTTCAGAACAATCCAATTCTATCTCTCCAAAAGTCCTAGACATTCTATTTCCACCTTACACATGCAGTTATATTCTGTGATTTTCTTTTATAATGCTCCTTTCTCGAGATTTTAGAATTAAGAAATTAATTTTTTTAAATTTTGTCTGTCTGCTTTTCAATATGTCTGTCTGTCTGTCTGTTTATATGTATGCACACCTGCCTGCCTCTGTGTTTCCATTTTTTGTTCGACTATATGGCATATTTCCCTTCCTCTCCCTCCACTAAAAGTAACTGATTAGGAAAGCAGGCCCGTAGCCAGCAATTTCAAAAGGGGGGTTCTTTTTCTGAAAAAGTAGACCTTTTTCCATAAAAACTTCATGTACCTATATCAAATTTTACCCAGAGTGGACCTTCTCCCAGCAAAAAGGGTGGTTCTTTTGAACCCCCCGAACCCCCCCTGGCTACAGGCCTGGAAAGTCTCTCTCTATTTTCTTTTCTCTCTCTCTCTCTCTCTCTCTCTCTCTCTCTCTCTCTCTCTCAGCCTACCTGTGTCCTATACGTGACACACTGTCCCTGCCCTGAACAGGCAGTGCTGTCCCCTGTTTTGACACAATTCTGGGTCTTCACTGTGACATTCAACCTCAGCCCAAAATCACACTGAAACAGTGGGTCACTTGTCTGAACTGAAATGAAAAAAAAATTATTACTTGATTACATGTATTTTACTCAGTCAGCTTTTTTCAAAGATATAATTTTATGTTTTCATGAGTAATATTTAAAGAGATTACCACAAATAACTGCCCTTTTAAAATCACATATAAGAATAATTTATTAAATTCAAGTATAATTATAATCGCATAATTCTTTTCAAGATTTTCATTATTCCATTGTTTTGATACTACAAAATGTAGAACTTCAACCTCTTGGTCATATAATGAATTATTATTACTTAAATTACAAAAAAAAAAATGCAAATATTAAATTAATTTTCATTTCACCACCAGTCTTAGTTCCATCCCCAAACCATTGACTTTTTTTATCTAATTAGGTACTAATTGCACTTACAGAGACCCCTAAACTCCTAATATGTATTCACCCCATTTAGCAAAGTACACTATGCCTTACCTATCCTAATAAAATGACATTGATTATCCACTGATTGATAGGATTATCAATTTAATTACAGTCATAATTCAACTCTGGTAAATAGCTTCAATGCCCTGATGCTAGGACATGGGAAGGCTAAGAAGTTAAGTACACAAGAACCAACTGTCCAAATTCAGTTGTTTAGAAATATAATTAAGATAATCCAATCCTGTCTGATGGATGTGAATTTAAGACTGCACTGTAGCTGATTTTAATTATAAGAATTTGTAGAGAATTTGCACTTTTCAAAATTCTCCTGTTTATCATAATTTATGAATAAATGGCTCTGTTAATAAATAAATAAATAAATAAATAAATAAATAAATAAATAAATAAATAAATAAATAAAATTTTATAAATAAGCCTATTTCAGCTTCAGCAGACAAGCATTCTTCTCGGACAAATCAAACAGACGGCGATGAAAAAATCAAACATTAACGCTTCAATCTCCTTTCCCTAATTGCTCCCAAAAGGATGGTTTATAGTCTTCACAAAAGCTCCCAGATATACCAAATGACTTCATGTAATAGCCAACATCTAGACAAAAAAAAAGCCAGAAGCAATAGCCTTTTACTTTCATTCTTTTTCTATGATTATTGGCAAGGGTTTAATCTGTAATCTGGTTAACAAATGGACTGACTTATGTCTCTTTACCATGCCAATGGGTGTGTGTGTGTGTGTCGGTCATTACAAGCCTTTTTTAGGCCAGTGTACATCTTCCAGAATGGCTTTACTTCTAGACGAAAACAGATCGCAGCTAGGACAGCTCTGCCTACCTTCATGTACAAATCATTGTCCAATTTTTATTTTATGGATTCAGTTTCACAAAAAGAGCCAAAATCAAAACGTGGTCTATACTTTACAAGAAGATAGGTATAATGAGTACATACATGTTACCAGAAAAAACATGTCATATAAAAAATTACAATAATCATAGTAAAAAAATTAAGGCCCATTTTACATCAATCAGTATATATACAGTACATTAACATGACTGCATATACTTAGCAACACGATTTTTTTACTGCTCTAGTTCACTATGTCTTGCTGCCCTAATTAAGTTAATTAATTGGCCATGTCGAATATGAGGCTCCACATAGGATACTTTTTTAAGTAAAATTGGCACACTAGCTATTGAAATTAAGTAGTCAACCTCTTAAAGAGCAGTGGTCTGAACTGGATCAATTTTAATTTGACTTTTTAATACAATTCTTTAAGTGTACTTCTGTAAGTGAAAAGGGCCAAAAAGTCACAGCTCTTTTGATAACTACATTTTCACCTGTTAATTACCCCTGTTGAAATTGTCAAAGTACCGGTATATGACCCTCAAAAAATATGAAAACAAAGTGACTGTGAAGCAAACATATTCTGAGACATGGCATCAACAGTCAAATTGTATGCTTAAATCATAATTGTCATACAACAAAACCGGAAATAAATTTTTCAGAAGGAAAACCAATTTTATCGATGAAGGAAAGACTTTTCAAAATGTCTTTGAAAAACCTGAAGTATCATCATTGTAGTAATGGCCTCATTTGAATTTTGCAGACTTTTTCAAAGGAAAAGATCCTGTATAGAAAACCACTATTAACAATGGGGGATGTAGTCAGACGGCAAAACAGAATGACTTGTCTGAAGAAAAATCAATTTTTCCTCCGGGAAATGGAGCTGTTTTGCGAGTTAGAGAATTATGGCACAGGATGACGATATGGTATAGATCTTTACTTTGTTATGACTTGAAATGTCACAGGAAATTGAAACTATATGAGAGGATCTCAATAATGAATTTGCCAAGTTTGAAAATTAATTATGGCTTCAATCTAGACGATCACTATTTGATCAGAAGTACTTTTACAATAAAGATTGCCATCCTATATATTTTATCCAGTTTTGATTCTTAATTTTTTCCTTAGTCCCACCAAGGAGTTATAACTCCTTGGTCCCACTTAAATCATACTACTCTGTTAATATAACTTGCACTAATTTTGAAAACTAATCATAGAGGATGACAGTCTACAATGGAAGACCATTTTTATCATGAAAAGCTTTTTAATATTTAAGTAAAATAATTTGCTCCTAAGCAATAACATCCATATGTTCTACTTGCACATTTGTCCCAATTTTGGTACTGTAACAGTATAATCCTAGATATAGATTGATTTTATTCTGCATGCAAGCCTATAGGCTACAATTTCAAAAGGAGGTAAGGGGTCTTTTTCTGAGTATATGTGGACCTTTTTCCCCTCTTAGCTGACCTAACTTTAGAAATGGCATACAGTGCCTAAATCAAATATTTGTTCAGAGCAGATTTTTTTTCCAGCCAGAAGAAGTTTGTTCCTTTCCCCCTTCCCCCTCTCTCCTTCTAGATCTGCCTACAGACCTGGGCTCTGTAACTCGAAAGCATCACGAATTGCAAATAGCATATCACCTTTTTTTTCGAGGCTATTATATGGGGTAAGTATGGGCGAGTTATGGAATTGAGATGCTTGCGCTCGGTCGCAATGCTTATGAGTTACAGGGCCCTGACCAGCTATATATGTATTTTCAAGGTCTTATTTCAAACCTGTGAAGTTTCTAATTGGTACTCGTACTTCCTGTAAGACAACATGTACATGTCTTTCCTATTTCACACTTAGTGCAATATCTTAAAACTTTACTTTCACAATCTAAGAGTTCTAGACCTGTCACCTGTCAAACTGAAATGGCCACTAGCACCTGCAGCTGGGGCCTGTTCTCAAAAAATCTTCAGTCATTTTTTGGGCTAAAATCTTAGCTTACTTAAAATTTACCAACAAAATTGCATTTCAGAAAGAAACTTAATGACGCTTATCTCTTTTTTTGGTCTCTTACACCGTGACTCCTCAAACACATTGTGACAGAATGTCTTGATCGAGGTATTTATTTTCAGCGCTGATGGCACAATAATGTATTGCCCAGGCATAGGCTAGAGGCAGGCTAGAGGCAGGATTTATTTTGAGCTAACCAATTAAAATTATAATTTTAGAGCATGACCAATGTCACAAAGCCGACTTTGTATTATTGGCTATCAAATTTTAGCAGTATAAGTTTAGCCCACAAACTCCAGACTTTCGTGAAACAGTTAGGTCTTTATTTGACAGGAACCAGGACATCAGACTGAAATTCAGAATGTTTAGTGTTACCTGGAAAATAAACTTTGAAGTTTTTGTCTGCTGATGTGCCGTCACTGTAAAATAATTAGACACATGTCAGAAATGTCACAGTATCCTAAATGCAAATAACTTGACAGCATTGTATTTGGAAGAGTTCGAAAATGATACTCCCTCTAAATCCCCGGGCAATCAATTTTGATAATAATTTCCAACTAAATGAATTGCAATGAAGGCAAGGCAATACAATTTATTTGATTAGTCTTAGAACATTTTGTCAGATAGGAAGATTTTTTTTGATCTAGTAAAGAAAAGATAATTGTATTCAGCACAATACCTGTAGAGTCAATCAATCTCGTACAGTTTTTTCATCTAAACAAAAATACAAAAAAAAAAACAAAAAAAAATGGATGACAATTCATTTACAGTATTGACATTTATGAAACCATTTGCATTGATTTATGAAGACGTGAAAATATACCAGGAAATTTGATATCATCTAAAGCCAGGAAATCTGTCTGTGTAACAACAACTCAGTTGAACTCGTTCAATCAAATTAGTTTTCATGGAAAAAAAAGCAAGGATCCATTTACATTAAGCTCATTTACACGTCTAGATTTACATTGTCAACACATATTACTTACAGAGCATCAGTCACTTTCACAACTTATGCTACCCTGTATCATATATTTCAACTTCATGGCATGTGTTACATTTGTCAGTCCAGGTCAGCAGTGTTGTTTGCAATTAAGTCAATGCCCCACAGCACGTCTTCAATCAAATTCAACCCAAGCCAACAGCAATTAGCCTTTCAAATTTGTCATTGTTGTTGTTCTTGTTGTTGTTGTTGTATGTGGACCCACATGTTAATTGCAATCAAGACTGATGATCCATAAGTAATGTTATCTGTGAAATAGGATTTTGACCAATTCTAAGCAAACTTTTAAACAAGACACCTGTAGCTGTGTGGCTGTCCTAACAGGCCCGTAGCCAGCAGTTTCAAAAGGGGGGTTCTTTTTTTGAAAAGTTGGACCTTTTCCCATAAAAACTTCATGCACCTAGATCAAATTTTACCCAGAGTGGACCTTTTCCCAGCAAAGAGGGTGGTTCTTTCGAACCCCCTGAACCCCCCTGGCTACAGGCCTGCCTAAACTATAACATCTGAGAGTTCAAACTGAATAAATACATTGACATTTTTAATCCTTTGCTTTTCAATAGCAAGAGTGCAAGAAAAGCACTGTTAACAGAGCAGCCATAAGTAATGTTATCTGTATAATAGGATTTTGACCAATTCTAAGCAAACTTTTAATCCTCCTGATTCATTAAACTTTTTTTTTTTACTGACATACAAAGACTAAGATCACGGTGTCTTTTAAAAGTTTCTTCTCCTAGCATCTGAATTCAAAGTA